TATTCCAACAAATTTAATAAAGATACTTATAAATATTAAATAAAATATATATGTTACTTTCAATATTAATTAAGGCCCGGCCATGAATAAAAATCTAGTTATTAATTAATATAATGCGTCCAGGAAGTTCTAATGTCAAAGATTAGTACTTACGAAGATGAAATAAATGAATATCATTTATTCTTCAATAATTCTTCCGTTACTAAGGTTTTCGTTCTCGATCTTCGCGGAAGTTTCTTATTTTTCAGATATTGGTCATTTTAAAGATGTAATATTTCTTTCATTATCAAATTTGATAATATAATTTCATCATACAATATCTCAGAATCTTCTACAAAGAAACTCCAACAAGAAAAGAACATAGCAAAACAAAAATTTTCAGAAAGAATGACGCGATATACTTTAGATAATCCTATACATGAGGATTGAGAATTCGATGTTTCCTATGTTATTCATACTGTTTATGCTGTTTAAAATCTAGTGTACAACCACGTTAATCATGACATAAAGTACATTTACAGCATGTTTTTCAACCCACCTTGTCATAATATTTGTAAGATGCTTGTAAAATTCGGTACTTAATTTTGGATCTTCCTTAATATTTGTTGAGTCCATTTCCTCTAATTCGACGGGAAAAAATATTCCTTTAATTATTGGAACCTCAACACCAATCGTATCAACTATTGTCATAAAGTATGATAGATCATCAGGTATGCTAAGAAGTTATTCTAAAGATTAAATCATTGAACTTACTGTTCAGACGTAAAATTTGATATGCCCACTATATACTTGTTGCATACGTTAAAATATGCCGGATGCACTCCATTTTCTGAAAAGTATTCAAAGTCACATGAATAATAAATACACATCCAACCATCAAACAAACGAATAAAAAAAAGAAAGAAAATTCACCTGTAAAAAATTAAAGAAGGATCATTTAATTTACGGTTTCTTTTAAATTAAATAAAACCACAAAGAATTTTACCTTGTTGATTTCTTTCCCGGAGGACACGATCTTGCTCGAAGATGACATGTTTCAAGGCTTTG